AATTCCAACATATATGGTTTTAAATTCGGTTTGTTGCATTTTAACCTTTTTATATACATTTTAACCTTTTTATACTTTTTCTCTCTTTACTCACGCAGCTTTACCAAATCGTTCTCCTGTATCAGTAGTTATCGTTGGGCCCAATGATGACGTAGACGGCGGCATTAAGCTGTATGTTAGCGCACAAAAATCAATTATAAGTTGGAATTCAATAATATATACATATATAATTCATATGAGGTTCACTTACAAGCCAGAAGAACTTAAATTAGTTAAGCATTTACTTTTAAATTTTTAAATTGATTTAAGTAAATTTTATGTATGTCTAATTAAATATTGGGATTATTAACATTTTTCATTTTTTTTTTCTTTTTTTTTTTCTCCACTGTGCCTGGGGCTACTTAAAGCTCTTTCTTTTTTTGTTTTTAGCAATAGACTACATTAGAGTATCAGAATATGGGGTGGTTCAGTCGCTGGCTGGTATGTAAAACTCGGTACTTATCCCAAATTCCTTCGGTCTGATCAAACTATACCCAAATAAGGGGTGTGGTCAATCTTGGTGCAGATTACGAAGATCCGCTTCCCAAGTGGTTTGGAAACTTCGCATCTGGTCTCGATCGGGGCGTGTTCTGTGGCGGCGTTACACCTGACCAAAAGGCGTCTCCTAATTCTTGGCCGTTCGCCCGTGTTTTGGGGACTGTGCCGTGGTGCGAGTTGCAGCGGTTGGACAGTTGTCCGTGAAGTGGCGAATGTTGTTAAATAAAAATGTTGCCGGAACGGCAGATGTTGCGGACAACTATGGCTATTCCATCCATGGATTCCGGCTCAAACATCGCCAGTTGCCTTGGCCAGTGCTTCTCAAAAAAGCCTGCAAAAACAATTTTACTATTTGTCCTTTCCCCTGACACTCCTACATACCTTTTTCTTTTTTTAAATAATGAACACTTTCACCTATAACCCTCTTTGGGTCAACACTCGTGTAGTTGAGGAATTCCTAGTCGTTGTCAGATTTTCTAAGAAGTTACGTTCCCCGTCACTGACGTCTTGTTGGTTTTTATTTCTTCGACTGACTGAAGCAAAAAGTTCTGCAACCAAGCCTATGTATAGCTGCACGCATAAAAGCTTCTAACGGCATTATCGTGCGATGCTTAGATCAAGGGCTTACAAGGTCAGGCTTCCAATGAAAGCTCGACTTACACGAGGGTGTGTCATGCGTATACCAAATTTATTTTATATATATTTTTATAGCATATTTCCAAAAAAAATGGTTGGTAAACGGATACTACAAACTGGAACGTTAACGTCAAACATTCGCGTAAGAAGAGCTACTATTGCACTCTGCATCTGCAGAAATCGATCGGACTAAAATGTATTTACACGGTAGGCTGAACTAACTTTAAAAGGTGCACTACGCACAACCCCAAGGGATGCCCTAGACACCATTCTAGGAGCACACATACTGCTGGGTAATGACCTCATGCCCTCAGCCACTGACTACTGTACTCCTAAGGAATACCCCCAGACGCCTTGATACATACATCATCATATCCTCTAGGGCTGACTGGAACCTCGGCCTAGCGTGACCAACCAACTCCATCAGAGTGTTTATAGATGAGCTTGACATCCGCGTGTGTGGTGGTTTTTATTGCAAAGAACAATACATCAGAACATCATCCCGCCTCCCGGATCATTGCAGCGTATTTCGGGCAAAAATTCTTAAATATTTTCAAAATATACACCAATATTTATTTTATACTTGCACCTGAAATTTTGGGAGCCTTAGGTGATCCATTAAAAATGTCACATGTACATACAAGTATGTGTAAAATAATCATCGAAACTAAAAAAATTTTTTAAAAAATCTATCGATTGTCCCTCCTTTGGTATTCGAACTCAGCTAAAGGTTGTATAACTGCACATTTACAACACAATTGTGTCTATGGGGGGCCTGTAGCAAGTTCTGGCAAGGGGTTCTTTGTTTGCTTTAGGTTCTCAAGCTTAGGGTATTAATAGTTGGAGTGAAAAGTAACCTGCTTGACCACTACAATGCGCTACTATCGCAAAAATGATTATGGCGCCTTATAGTCCATTCATATTTAGGTAGGCATGTGGCAATTCAGCGCGATACAGCCCTAAGTTTTGTTTTTATAGTTGACGTGTTTCACATCATGTTCAGCATGGGAAAAAATGAATTTCGTTCTCTCACAAAACATTATTTTTTGTTGCGAACGAAACTAAACAAAAGTTGGATAAATATTATGGGGTAATGCTCCTACAGATTACACCGAGAAATATTGTTTTCGAGAGTTTCGTGGTGGCCGAAACTGCACTACTGATGAAGTGCCTAGTAGTAGGCCCATCCGATGCGGTTACTCAGGAAAATGTCAAAAAAATACATGAAATGGTGTTGGCTGACCGAAAAGCGAAACTGCGCCAGCTAGCAGAGGCCACAAGGATTAGTACTGAGCAAAAATGCCATATTTTGGGCGAGATTTTGCATATGAAAAAGGTATTCTGCCGTTGGGTGCCGCGCACGCTGACTTCAGACCAAAAATACGATTGTGGGCACACTTCGAAAGTGTTTGGTTATGTTAGTCCAGAATCGGGCGGACTTTTGGCCTCGATTGGTGACCTTCATCCACTATTACACACCAGAGAGCAGTATGAGTGCCCGGCAAAGGACTGAAGCCAGCACAAGTGCTCCGAAACGGCCGAGGGAGGCTCAATGGGTTGGAAAGGCTATGTCGTCGGTTTTCTGGGATTGTCTTCGTGAACTATCTCGATTATGTCGCATTATTGGAGCGATTGAAGGCCAAAATCGCTGCGAAACCGCCTGACATGAAGCTAAAACAAATTTTGTTTTTGCAAGACAATGCACCGGTACACGAGAGCATCGCAACCATGGCTAAAATCAACGATTTAGGACTCCAAGTGCTTCCTCATGCACCTTATTCACCTGATTTGGCTCCCTCTGCCTATTATCTCTTCCCAAACCTCAAAAGATGGATCATCAATAAAAAATTACTCTCCGCGAGGAGATCATCGATGCTGCAGAGGCGGAAAATTAATTTTCAGAAGGGATCAAATAGTTGGAAAATCGTTGGAATAAGTGTATCGACCTAAAAGGAGACTACATTGAGTAAAAAAATAAAATAAAAAATTAAAACCATTTTTTTCATGCCCAAGGAGGTTACTTTTCACCCCACCGTAAATAAAACAAAACTGTTACAAATAAAGTTTTCTACTATAGATTTAATATAAGCAAATTTAGAGGCAACATTTTCAATATCGACTTCTCTAAGTAAATCATGCTCTATATTCAACAAAGTGAGATGATTAAGACGTTCTTGGCCCATCGTGTTCCTTAATTCATTTTTAATACGTTTTAATGTCACTGTACCAATGCTGTTAGAGAGACAAGTAAATGAGCAAGGCAATTTCTAAATTTGGGAAACACGATTCTAAAGAATTATTTAATTTATAAAATTTATCTAGTTTATAAAATTGATGTTCCAGAGGCTCCTGTTTTCAGCAGCTCTGCGAACTGCACTAATTCACCACCTAGGCTGTCCTCCAAATCATATTCGTAAGCACTGACCATACTTGAGGATTTTTCCAAAATCACTATTGTTTTAAGAGATTTTAGCTAAAGTTTAAAATCCAAATTATCCAAATGTGCATACCTTATGCAATTATTTTATAGTAAAGATATTCAAGGAAATTAAAAGTCGCCGATAACGTTTTGTTTATAATTTGAATAGTTCATTTTAAAAAAACCCGTCCTTTCTTTTGAGACTCTGAAACACCTTGCTCTTAATCTACCGGCACTAGCTTTCAATAATCTCTAAACATGATCGATAGCATAATCGATTCAAAAAAAGGTCAGCTATATTCACTCATAAAATGAATCTATATTTAATAATAAATCAGCCAACCACAGTAGATAGGATCGTGACTAAGTTAATAAAATTTAAATAGTTCGCCTGTTTTCTCGAAATACTTCTCTCTAGCTCTTGAAGTCTCTGAAATCCAGAACAGACGGACAGGGCTAGATCAAGACGAGTCGATCATGTTGATCAAGAATGTATACGAGTATGTATACTTTGTGGGGTCGCCACGCCTACTTTTGCCTGTTACATTTTTCATCTCCCGCAAACCTAATATACTCTAGCACATTTCATGTACAGAGTATAATAACCATCATTGTGTACTTTTTTTGATAACCCATATAATGATTACAGTCCCTGTAAAATTTACATCTGCTTCATTTCTATAGAAGGTAATAATATAAGCCAAATTAATGCTTAATTGTTAACATTAGTGAGATTTTTATTTAAATTACGTGGGAAGTTGTTTTCAATATTTATCTTAATAAGATATGATCATTTTGTGATGGTGATAGTTTCAGTGTCAGCTAATCTTGAATATTAAAATGTAGCGCTTCAATTTTTCTCAGATTGTAATAATTGTAAAGTCGAAGGAGCAGCTAAGACAAAACTGCCCAGATATGTAACGTGGGGAACATGCACTCTCTTTTGTGATATTCATTATTTTAGTGGACACCTCTGTAGAGATTCACCTTTATACTCTGCACTTGAAGCGCTTAGGGGGTTTCCAGAAATCCTAAATGGCAAATGTAAGTAGCGCTCAAGAGAAGGCGTGATATTATAGGTAAATATGTATACGATCAACATGACGAGACCATAAGCTGCAATAAACTAAATAAACATACGAAAGTGAGCTTTTCAGCTTGAGCGCTGACTCAGTGTTTTTCCCAGTGCATTCCTCTTATGTGACTCAAACGAAGCTCTTCATCGAAATCTGGTTACCCTCCTGTTCTCCCATTTGTTGAAGCGATGCATATGTTGTAAATAATCGGTAAATTTCAAAGCGAGTTAATTAACACAAGCCGGAGGAGCAGGCGGGGCATATTTGTAGAGACCAAAGGGAAGTTGCTGAAGCAACGACGGTATTGGTCAGGTAGGGGAGCATCGGTTCACCGCTTGCAGATGTGGTTATCGTACAAAAATTAAGAAATAAATAAAATACTGCGAGTACATTGGTGCACATGCTCTGCTGCCTCGCATCCGCCTCGCCCTGACCTGCCTTTTCGTTCCTTGACTGGGCAATAAATTGAAAAGTCAACTTCATCATCGCTGTCAGTTGCCAGCAGTTCCTGAAGCGACAGCAGTGGTGCTGTTACCTGAGCACTAATGAGCGCAACAACAAAAACAACAGGCTGTATCAACAACGTCGGCGGACATGTTGCAATGTTCAAAATTAATTGTCGTGTGGATGGTTTTTAAAACATTCACATACTCTTAAATGGCGCGATGTTTCTCGTTAATTATGACCTTTCCGTCCATGAGTGAGTCTGCATGTGTAAGTCAGCTTGTTAGCCATAATGGGCTACCAATCGAAGAGATGGCCAAATTCTGCATTGGCTAAGAACAGCGAGGGGCAAGTGCCCACAGTCGGCATTAAATAAGTGGAGGAGGGGCTCAAAACTAGTTTATGTGTTGCTTGCGCGCTTGTTTAGCGCCCGAACCTCAGTTAAGGTCTTTAGGTTCATAAATCTACTTAACGTTCTGTTTAATGGCGTCTTTCTTCATTAGTTCTCTACGGGTCTCATTCGTTGGATTTGCGGTTGTTAATTCTTATTTTCCCTTTGTGCTCTTATCTATATTAAAGGCCGGACCACCCATGAAACAATGTGAGAGCGGGACGGCAACATGTCTTGCTTCCATTTTTATACTTCTCTAAAAGCAGTCCGATTGTGTTGAAGGGTATTTCAGTTTTGATATTCCATATTATGGATTCTGAATTGATCATGACTTTGAAACTATATCTATTTCTTTAAATATTTTCCGAGAAATCATTTAAGTAATGTGTTTCGAAAAATTTCCTGGAAAACGATTCTTTTTATAAATGTCCCAAAAACCAATCTATTAAAATTCTATTGTAAAATGCGTAAATAAGGTAGATTTAAGAGGTATGGTTTATTTAATTTCAACTAGGCGGTAAACATTTTTTATTTTTAATCCATTCTCCAAGC